TTTTCTACAAAATCACAAAATCATACCATAAACCTTTACATCTTTTTTCTTTCTTGAAACTGACATACAGTATACCTGCAGCGTTTAGCTTTGGGCTTGATGAAATTGCGAGAAACCTTGGAAAGCATTGGAAATGCCATTTTGTTACATTTATTTTATAAGACTTTACTGTTGAATAGTATCATTCAGTAACTCAGATTTCACCTGAGGAGAAACTTGTATAAATAATTTCAAAATGACTTTTCCTTCCTCAACACCTATACACACACACACACACACACACACACACACACACACACAGTGAGCAATAGTAATGATGTAATCCCAGTGAAAATGTGCCACTATCAAATCCAGCTCCTGTAAATCAGTGACTTCCCTAATAATTACATTCTCTAAAAAATATATGGCATCATTAAGCCCTTACCCAAGTTCCTGTCTTCAAATCCCACACCTTAATATCTTGTGATTCTTGTGGTATTGGCTCCTCATTAGGAACAGACGAGATTGATGCACTTCAGAGAAGGAGCCCAGACACCCCGGGCTCATTATGTACATGATTTCTGACAGTGAAGGTGCATGTCTTTATTATTCGTTATCATTCTTCCTGTCTGCGTGCCAGTGTGTTTGGAATTCGAGTCAGGTCATGTGTCTAGAGCTGATGCCAAAATACAGTACCATGAAGCCCCAGCTGCCTGTTTGGATTGAATCTCCAGCGCAAATGGACCTGATCCAGGCAACCTGCCCTCATTCTGCCTCCTCAACACTCCTCTCCACTAATGCAACACCTCCTTCACCATAGCTCGAGTGCTCAGCTGTTCTGGTTGACATTAGAGGATGTCAAAATTCTCCTGGCTGGCCTCTCTACTGCTGCTAAACAAGAGCAGCATTAACTCAATATTACAAATACAACAGATAAAAAAAGGCTTTTTTTGCCTAAGAAATGATTAAATGAATCTGGAAAATGGAAAGCGGAAAGCATTAAGATTTCGGAACTGGGTGTCATGTGAATAACACCTCTGTTAAAATATACAAATTCAACATTAATTATTATTTCACATTTGACCTCATTGACTTAATCCCACAAGTCACTGAAACGTGACAAGCATTGGCTACGAGAGAGGGTCTTTATCTGATAGCAATGAAGCTCGATTTGGTATACGTATTTATAAATCCTTATACCACACCACTGATTCTGATTGGTCAAAAGAAGCTAATTCATTTTCTGCAAGAGTAGCTCCTTGTTCCAGACCTTCCAGGTTCTCTGTAACATGATAAGTGTATAAAAAAGAAAGGGTATGACAGAGTGTGCTCGAAGTCTTTCCCAAACTAACAAATAATACTATACCAATAACATTCTACTGGATAAGCGTATATTATGTGTGGTGCCTTTGCTTACCCATCATCAAGCAGTCTTTGCATGCTTTGCGACATAATGAAGATTTTATCATCTCTGTTTAACTGTGCACTGGCTGTGCCAATATCTAAAACTACACCAAGCATTAACTTTACTTTAAAATAAAAATTTAAAAAAACAGAAATGGTTAAAACTAGTTAGCTCTGGAATTGTCAAGTTTTGTGGTGACCTGCCTGGGTAATAAGTTTTAAATCATGGAGCATCAATGTACTGTATTTCAGTAAAATACTGCCTCAGAACATATCAACATATTTAAGCAGCTCAAGTTTAAGTTTGCTTATCGAGACCTTTTGTAAGCAAGACATTTTACGTAGGTGGACCATCACAAATTGTAGTTGAATACTCCTGTTTTCGATTATATGTGCATTTATATTTACTTCTAATAACTCCTACTCAATTAAGTCACAAATGCAGCTGCCTTAGATTTCCTCAGAATCTTTTTTGAGAGCATTTTTCCTGTTCTGATTATATTGAGATGACGTATAAACAACACGTTCTTCTCCATCCAGAAGGATACATGAAAGCTGCATATTGGTGAAAAACACAACTTTAAAAAAAAGTTGTAAACTTTACTGAAGATTCTGAGCTTTGGCTAGACAGGATTAGACTCATTTTATGACTCTAACTTATTGGATATACGTTATTACCAAAATAAGCCCCCAGTTTGGGAGATAAACTGCAGTAGTAGTTTTAAGAAGCTGTAAATTAATTCAGCACTCAAGAAGAATTTGACCCGCCCTCAGCATTAGTTAAAGAAGTATTTCTCTCATAGGGGCTCCTGAATGGCACAGTAGAAAAGTGTTTGTTGGGAGATTGCAAGTTTGAAACCATGATAATGTCACAGCCACCTGTGGTCAGGAGCCAAGGGAGAAAAATTGGCCATGCGCTCTGGAAAAGAGGGATGGTATATTCTCTGTCCCCTGACACTAGCAAATCCTGGGCATCCTTGAGCTCACGTATGTGGAAGAGGGCAGCTAGCGCTTTCCTCTGAGTGAGTTTTGCTTCGCTTTTTTACTATTGGCACCCATTTTGACGTGATCAGGAAGAGATGATAAATGACTTTCATTTAACATTTTACACATGCACCGGCTCCTCTTGCAGTTCCTTTGGGAGACACACAAAGGTAAGCCTCTTGTACTGAAGTTGAATGGACATAAGTGATGTTTGAACATCTGCTGCTGTGACAGAGGGAGTGAGTGAAAGACTGGAAGCGTGATAGAGCAGAGAAGAAAGGGAGAAAGCTGAGAGATAGTGTAGAGATGAAACACTGACAGTCCCTCATCGCTGATTTATAGCTCATTAGCTCACAGGAAATAAACTCATATCTCTCTGGCCACACACAGACATACCTATAATTAAAGGCATTTTTTATTTTTTATTAAAGTCATGCTCAGTATGGTCACATATTGCCTTAAAGGACATGCTGACACACACACAGAGGTGTTACTACTATTTATGATGGAGCAATTGACATTAGAGGGAAAAAACACAGTACCCATTGAGGTCTTTTGAACTCTTGATTTGAAATGTTACTCATTTTTCTAGCTTAAGAAAAAAAAAGGATTTAAACACCATTTCTACAATGGTACCCAATACCAGATACGAGTATTGGTACCATATAATATTCCCGCATGAACAGATATAGCTTTCTTCAACAGTGTAACTCTATCTTGTAGGAGAAAAACAAACAAAAAAAAATGAAAAGATCGTCCCTTGGTATGATCAGCACACTGTAAGCAGCGTGTGTTAATATGGAGCCTGAACAGCTCATGGAAAGCAATAAAAACAATATTAGATTATTATTCATTTCTAAATTAACAATTGATAGGACTATTATTATTATTATTATTATTATTATTATTATTATTATTGCTCCAGACTTTAGTAACAATGATTTCTCAGACTTCTTTAAAAAGAAAAGGCTATAAGAGCTACAATTCAGGACCAGGCTGCCAGAAATGTATTATATACTCAAATTCATACATTCTCAAATGATGATTACCCAGAAAGCATCATAATCCAAGAACATATTGAGCCCCATTCAGACTTGGTAGTAATATCCTTTTTGGGTGATTGGATCCCAAGTGGACAGAGTTAAATACAGGTGTGATCTGGGCTTAAACCATTTACGGAGAAGGTTTGGGATGCATGTGGTCACGTTGTATGCATCAACAATGAAGGCACTAAAATTAAACGGTTAGAACAGTCACCTTATGCAACACACGATGACTAAACCAACCTATAATGGACGGAGTCATTATTTCGTATATTTTTCCTTTTATCTTTATTGCCTATGAATACATCAGTAGACACAAATTCACACCTCAAAGCCAGAAGAAATGACCCATAAATGCGATAAAAAAAAAGTGTAAAGAGTGTTATCATGAAAGCAGTGAGTATCACTTACATACAACCGTACTGACAGGAGAGCCTGAGCTCAGCATGATGTCTGCCTGAAGATGCTCAATGTTTCCTAGAAGGTTAAATTCAAATCCTTATAAATCAATTAGCATAATGATCTATTTGCAAATGGACAGAATACACACACACACACACACACACACACACACACACACACACACACACACATATATATATATATATATATATATATATATATATATATATATATATATATATACTGTATATACATATCGTATGAGCTTCTTCTTCCCCACTAGCACTACTCCAGTCGCTTTCTCTAGGAGGATAAGAGATAGCATTGTCCTATTTCCCTACAGGCTGATTTATGTTGTGTTATTTATCTGACATTCTAAGATTTCTACTTTCTTTGCTGCATTGAATGCTACATGAGCAAATCTAATATATTCCCATCACACACATACACAGTTCTGTAGCCTACCACCACAGCATAATCGGCTTGTCTCACAAGGGCCATGCAAGATACATTTCAGTGCTCATAAAAATGGCTTGGAACTTTCATGGATGCCATTAATAAGAAGAGAGTCAATAGGGAATAAAACATAAACCAGACAGAAAACTTTGCAATGCAACAGCTCATACATTTCCTGCACCAAGGGGTCAAACAATGGCTTATGTATCAGCCACTGCTCAGGGAAACAACGAGGCATAATCACAGATATATTGCCAAAAAAAAAAAAAAAAAAAAATTGCATGGACTAACAGTATCTCTCAGCTTTCCACGCATTTACGTACTGCTGAAAACAAGCACCAAAACTAAGCATGAGTCATTAAAACACAACAGCATGCAATTTCAACTGTTTCATTTCATTTATTAGACCCTAGAGTGTAATATGTTAAATTAATCCAGCTGCTTAGTATGAAATGTACAAATCTGAGGTCTTAGCTCTGAGAGAGAGAGAAAACAAAATAGGAAAGTGGAGAAAGGATTCAGAGCTCATGCAGTCTTAGCTTAACAAGTAAAGTATTTATTTGCTGTGAACCTATTCAATGGTTCAGCTGATTTATCCTCATTGTGGAATTTGCATTGTTACCCAGTTGCAAAATTGTTTAGCAAGAGAACTTATGATAGCCAGCTAGTGGCTTACAGAAGGGGTATATAGGTTTCTCTTTATTTTTGCATTTCAAATTCGGTTATATCTGGTCTCTGAAGGACTAGCGGTTAGGCCACAGCACTCTCACCGCTACAACCTGCGTTCGATTCCTGGTCAGGGAACCAACCCCAGCCACTGGTGTTGCGTGCAACGGTGCACTCTCAGTGCTGGTCCCAAGCCTGGATAAAATTAGAAATGGTTGCGTCAGGAAGGGTATCCGGCATAAAAACTGTGCCACATCAACGTACGTGGACCAATGATCTGCTGTGGCGACAGCAAATTCGGTTATATCTGGTGAGAGAAAGGCATTTGAGTTGTTTGCTGACCTTGGTGGATATACTTATTGCTCTGTGCTTTAGCTAGTGTGCTAATACTCTCTAGCTTGTACCCAGTGTTTTTACAGGCTGGAGATATTCCTTACAGCTTGGAGAATAAACTGTACATACTGAACAGCCATGATACAGTAGTTTGGTTTTTCAGCTTTCTAGCAAAACCTCTTGGCTTCTCCACTGTAATCTTTGAGCCATCAGTGTGTTGTAAGATGCACTGTAAGATAACAGAGGAGCAATCGATAGGTTTTGCTTTTTTTTACTGAGACTCAGTAACTGTGCCATTGATGTGCGCAATAAAGTTTCTTTCTTTAGTAATAGTGAGTAAGTGAAAGTAGTGTACTAACATACTTGTGTACGTTCACCAAATTATTTACTTTTGTACAAAATTATTTAGTAGTACTCCACCACTATTTATGCAGATTAACCTTGAATTGTCTCTGTCTGTGTACAACACAGAATAACCTATGTTATGATGTTTGTAATAGCATTTTCTACATCAGCTTTACATCAGATCATTTTTCCAGCAACACTGACATTATGCCCATCTACTGTATATGCATCTGTTTCATCAAACTTAGTGGCAAAAGAGAAAATAGCCAGAGTTTTAGAGAAATACTTAGATACACCATACACCATACACAGTTTAGTAGCATTTTTTCAAAGTGTGAACATACACTTTTTATAGCAGATTAACAGCAGTATGTTTTCTCAGAGTGAAGCTCATTAGTATTATTGGAGAATGGAGTATGCATGAAGGAAGCTTTGTTAACATCAAATATATTTTTAGAGAAGCTTTATCTGTCAGTTTCTGCTGAAGTGTATAGCTGTTTCCTTACTGTTCCATAGGTGCAAATACAGTAGGTGGTATTTAAACACAGTGTCAAGGACGTTTCTTGGACACAAATCAGGTCATCACTCTGGTCCAACGGAAATACAGTCACATATTAAACACATAGCGGCATATTGTTTGCGTACAAGGCATCAAAACAGATATGAACTCGAAGGAGATTTTCAAACCTATATTTTCCTTCCAGTTCAAAAATCATTGTACATTTTTATCTAAAAGTACACCAATGCCAAACTCATTTTCCAACATGAGTCTTTGTGTGCTCGGTTCAATTTATTTACTACATTTAAGATTAAGATTGTAACACTAAGCTTTATGATAAAGTCCCACTGGACACATTGGGACACCTGAACTGGCAGATTTTGAGCCACCTTTAAACCCACACTGCCAATTCAACATTGGCCCAACAGACAAAACCCAGTCTTTGGCTGACATTGGGCCAACATTGGGTGCCAGCATTAGGCCAATGTTATTTTGTCCGTTGGGCCAATGTTGGGCCAGATGTATTGCTGTTCTTGGAATACTGGCACTTTAGCACCTTTGACAGCACCAATATAAAAAATAAATAGCTGGAAGTTATTCAGCTTTCCATTCATAGTGTGTGGCTCATTGTGAAGAGGATAAAAAATGGCAGTCACCTGAAAAAAGCTGACCAAACCTATTTTCTGCCTTTTACGGAATTGCCAGTCTGGTGCTGAGCTTTAACTCACAGGAGTCTGACCCTGTCAAAGACACACAACTCCCTTCAACCCACAAGTGCTCTCTCATGTCTGTGACTGAAAGAAAAAAAGCTGCAGTTAGGTGCTGCCCCATTCCTTCCATCTCTTATTTACACAGATATCTCTGTTGCAGTAAACATTGTATATATTGCTAATGACTAATGAAGATTTCCAAGGTGAATTGTGTAATTGGTTACAAATTATGCTCAGTATTGTTGAATATTCACTTCTGATTGGTCAGCAGGTGTTGATTAATATTGCTTAATAATAATTTATTGCAAAGCTTGGTGTCACAATCTGAAAAATGTAGTAGATAAGTGGAGGACTGCATCATGCCAGGCTGCATCACACCACAAGGTTGTTGCGAATTTTCCTATAACAGCACAATCCGTTGTGTTTTATTCCTTACATAGCAAGTGTGAGACCATGCTGAAATAATTTGTGCATTTTTAAAATAAATGTTACTGATGTACTGCTATGTGATCCAAAGAGATCAGTCAAAAGAACATCAGACTGCTACTAAATAGTTAAACATAATGTTTAAGCTGTATTTGGTTCTCCAGATGTGTTTGGCTGGAGTCTTATCAAAGCCTGCATGCCAGGTGAAATGACCAAAGACCTTGACAAGTCAGTCACCTGTTGTTCAGGCTAATCCTTCACCAAATTCCTGACCAATTCATTTACACTGCGAGTCCTAATCCACTAAGTTCAGGCTTTCCACAGCGAATGCACACACTCCCAGTCATTCACTGCTTCTCCCAGCAGGGCACAAAAATCAATAATGGAGAGCTCTTTTAACTTATTGATTAGCCCTTTCATCTTGCTACATTATAAATAATTCTCAGACTCACAGCTGAGCCAGTGGCATGTTTGAGACAAAAAAGGTTAACAGTACAGAAGAAAAAAATGCTTAGGAAATTGTTTACCATTTTTCCCCTCAGGAAGGGCTTTACTCAATTATACATTCTAAGACTGCTTGTTAGAATGTGGATTATATGTATAGACTGCATCATACCTATAATCTAAACCCATGAATGTGCTCTGAAAGTGAAGGTTTCCTGAATTACATTATGTTATAATGTGAATGTGTGGCTTGAGGGTGTACTGTGGGTGAGACAGAAATAAATGCAGAAAGAGAGTGTGGAGTGTATGTGTGTTGATGCGTAGTAAGCCCTAGAGGTGTGACCTGTACCACAGTTGAATTTCTCAGCTATAGTGAGTGTGAGAGAAGCCCTCACTACAGCATCTTTAAAAAAGAATCCACCATTACCTTTCAGTGCATGTTTGTGTGTTTGTGTGTATATGTGTGTATATATGTATGTGTGTGTGTATGAGAGAGAGAGAGAGAGAGAGAGAGAGAGAGAGAGGGTACATGTTTGTGTGCGTGTGTGTGTTTACTTTCAACTGAGAGTCACCCAGGAATCTTATCTTGCATAATGAGATATCAGCAGTAGCCACATTTCCATGAGAGAGGAGACATAAAGACCACTGCATCTTCCTATAGGCTTCCTGCCTAAAGCTAAAGCCATGTCTGTGAATTCTGACACTTAAAAGGTCCTCAACCTCAGCTACATCACTCCAGTTCATAATCGCTCTCAACTACAATTTTCTTTTCCATCATACAGTTATTATATTTGTTTGTAACTGCCTACAATATTGATTGGTTCTATTTCCCCAACTATAAATAAACCAAGAGTCTAATTTAAACTGCCTCAACCTGGACCACATAGTTATTAAGGACGAATCAATGAATGAAAGCTGTTAATGTTAATGAACATGGTCTTTGCTTTTCCCATCTCAAACTGTATCTGACACTAGTCTCAACCACATGAGAACCTTTCTGGCATGCTTTCTATTCATATCGGTGTCTATTAGTATCTGTTTAAAACACATTACCCTTCCAAAAAATTGTATTCATTTACACCCCTAATGTTCATCATTATTGGCTAGAAGGTGCACTATCAGGACGTGTTACAAACCCTCATTGCGACTTTAATGCAGTCTCCACTAATCTCTCAAAGAAAGCACCCCGGTGACCCAGAAAATAAGGAAGTAGAAACAACGGTTACATATGAAACAATGGTTCTACAACTAAACGGACGACTTCCAGGCCAATGCCCCACTCAGCTTGACAAAAACGACCAGAGGCAGAGACAAAACTGATAGCAGAGACAAGAACCATGGTTAAATCAATGTATTCTCCCTGCTCTACAAGCACAAATCCATCTCTGATCTGTTCTGCTTCCAACAGATCAGTTATTCGAGGCCCCTTGTCACCTGTGTTCAGGTAGGAGTATGAAATTACAACCCACAGACCCTCTGCTATAACATTACAGTCTCAATAAATTACTGTATATAATAGGGAGCAATCCACAAGCTGACCCAAAACTGAGAAACTATCATGATTGCACTTGCACAAGGATCACTTTAGTGTACTTAATATGTGACAGACCGGCTGGTCGTAGATTACAGCTAAAGTGTCTCTTCTATCCAGAGAAAGCAGAGGAAGTCCACTCTGCGGGTGCAGTGAAAATAGTTTTATTAGGATCACATAATGCTTGCTGACAGATTAATGCCTGCAACATCACACAGCGCTCTATATACAACGCTCACTCAGGGCTTTGGCATCGTAATAATCCTAATACAGAATTCTGTGCTTTGCGAAAAAACATTTTAAGGTTATTTCCAGTACTAACAATGACGGTTAAAAGTAAAAAATAGCTGTCAAAGCTTAGTGTCAAATGCGGGGTGGGCACACGTTATAAAATATACTGCTGTATGTGGGTTCCCAGAGTAGCGACTTAATTCCTATAAAACTGTAATATAATGTTTGAACCTTATTTTAGGAGCCTTATTCCTTTGTAATTTCCAGTAATTACTAAGAAATAGGGCTACTAAAATAAGGTTTGAGAGGAAAAACCAACCTGAGGTGAATCTTAAACCTGGCTTTTGTTATGATGGGTTTATAAATGATTGGGTTCATTCACATTGAATTTAAACGAACCAAATTGCTACACCAATTATTGGTTCATATTTATAATCATAATGATGCCATAACAGATATAACCTTTTACACTCTGCTGCAGATGATTTTTACATTTTTGTGTTTCTCAATTTTAACAGCAATATTTTTCTTATCACCAGAATAAATAACCATTAACTCGGTGTGGAAATTGAAAGCTCACAGCTCACTAACAGATGTTCCAGCCCAAGCCAAATTGCAA